TCCTCTAGTGGCAGAGTTTAGGGGGATTTTAGTGAAAAATGCAGGAACTGAGCATGGGCCTCATGAGGAAAGAGATTTCAGTGTTTTAATTGTAAGAACTAACATTGGTCAGTAAGAAGAAGAAACTTGGAATTTATATATATATATATTTTTACCCAGGCCCTTTGGAGAAGAGGTTAGCCCGACTAACACCTTAAGTCTGGCCTTAGAATACTGTACATGGAGGACAGAGCCTCACGACAATGACTTCTCACAGAGCAGTGAGCCAGTAGACGGTGGTTGTTTTAAGCCTGTTAAGCTTGTGGTCATTTCTTTTGTAGAAATAGAAAGCTAGTACAAATGAATGATTCTAAAACTTATCTGGATGAGAAAGTACTAGCAACTTACATTTTTAAATCTTCATTCTTACAGTGCCCACACCCCTGTCTCCATGTAATATCACAACACAGACAATTACGCAAGTCAGGAGGCTTCAATATCTGACTTTAACTCTTAGCACTATTTCCCTCCCGTCTGTCCCCACTTGTCGCTATCTACTTAGGTTTTTGCCATTCAACATTGTAATAATTTGCTTTCAACTCCCAACCCCCTCTACAATATTAATCTAAAAAACTCCAAATCTGATAGCATCCCCCACATTGCCTAATGCTGAAATTAGCTGCAAATACACAACCATAATCTCAACTATACTCAAGGAAGAAGACACCAAATCTCAGATCATTGGATTTATAACCTTCCTGTCACTCTCCTACCTCCCACTTCTACTTCAATCACAGATCTTCCTTCTATTTTACAATTCAAACCCTTGCTACCTACTTTACTAACAAATGGAGAAGGAAGAGCAGTAAAGAAGAGGAGAAAGGACAAGAGGAGGGGGAATTAGGGATTGAAAAGATGTTTTCTTAAATAGTAAGGATTGAATACAGGGCCTTCACATTGAGCTACATCCCTTATCCTTTATTTCATTTTTATTTTAGTCAGCATCTCATCAAGTTGTCAGGAAAGAGTTTTTATGAACTACTAATATAATTTGACCAAAATTCTTGCCTCTACATCTGTGTAATTCTGTTCATGCTGCTTCTTGAGAACTTGCTTATAGGAATGTTCTACAGCAAGGGAAAAAAATAATTCAGCCCCTTATATGTTAGAGACATGCAAGATATCTGAGATTTATAATATCCATGACTCCCTTAACTGGAATGATGTTTTCTCTCCCTATAGAGTAATTTTTCAGCAATAGTGATTAAACATTTGGAAAAAAATCAGCATTTTTCTCTTGGTGCAATTAATGCTATCTTTTCACATAACTTGTGACAGGTATTAGTTCAAATAGAGGTCAGTCAAAAGAAACTGGAGAAAAAATCCTTAATAATTAATATTTCATATTCTTTGTTTGTAAAAATGTATAAGGATGTGAAACAAACCTTACTGTGCAAGTCTTAGAACAAGAACACCCCCAAACTTGAACTTAGAACCCCACCAAGAGGCCCTAGAGAGTGATTCATAGAGACCTTCGTCCTCTCCTCCTGAGAGTAGGGTGCACATTACTTTTCAGCTTCCTGCCAAGATCGTGAATAGCAAACAGGATCAGTACTGCCTCAGAGAAAGGCACACTGAATTTGAATTACCAAGAAGTGGTTATTTGTCTGGAGACCTAAAACTTACTACTTAAAAACTCATACCAAACAAATCACTCATTTAAATTCTTGCAATATCCCAGCCACTTATCTACTGTAAACTTTAGAATGCCATATTAAAAGATTCATTTTTCAAAAATACATTTTCTGTTATTCAAATGATATCTAAAACAAGCACTGAATTCAACTCAGCTAAGGCAACATAAATCAAATGAAAATGGCAGGTAATCATAAAAACAGACAGGAAAATAAAGAAGGCCCTTCCAAGTGGGTTGTATGCACAAGCTAATACTGAAAGAGAACCTAAAAGGTATATGGAAGAAGACAGAAACATTTCTCTCAACAGATTTTAATCCATAAAAAGAGAAAGATAAAATAATATGATTTCTTTTAAAGGCGAGAGAATAAAAATACAGAAAAATTAAAAATTAGCTTTCACATTTTAAAATATTTGCTACTAAGATGATAGGACAAAGGGGGGATGGAAATAGGAGAGCTGAATGTACTTGTGCAAATTGATAATCCCAGCACTCTGGAGGCTGAAGCAGGAGGATCACACCCTCAAGCCTTCCTGAGCAGTTTTGGGAGGCTCTCTTTCAAAATTTTAAAAATAAATAAACAGCGCTGTGCAATGCTTTAGGTCAAGTCCCTGGCTTCATTCCCTAGTACTACAAAAGAATAAAAGAAGAGAAAGCAGGAGAACAGGGGAATCTGGAACTAAGAAAGAAATCATCTAATGCAGGTCACCTCCCACCTGCACGTGCTACGAACAGGTCACATCTTCTGGGTAAGCTCTGCATCGGACGACATTCCAAGTACTCTGCATCTGTCATCGCTCTAACCTTCATAGACACATTGTAGGAGAAGGTGACATTATGTCTACATGTTGTATTCAGAGAAATCAAGCTACATACAGATTAATTAACTTACCCAATATCATACTGCTGGGAAGAAAAGGAAGTGGGAGCTAAGCTCCTAGACTCTTGCTTCTGAGTCTACCTCTCCAGAATAAACCTGAAGCCATACATGGAGAATGCTGTTGGCCCCCAGCAAGGAAGACCAGGCAGCCTTCTTGAGGGAACTGCTAAACAACAAGCACACAGTGACCACCAAGTGGTGAGAGCCACTGCCAAACCCATATTGTAGTTGCTCCAGCTCAGTAGAGCCAGAGTGGAGACTCCCAGGTTGCCTTCTTCTTTAATGTTCTCCTATGGCTTTTCTATAACTTCTTATAATCTGATGATATTTTTGAGCCTTATGAGGCTAAATGTACTTCCTAATTGTGATGTTTTCTGACCTTTTGAGCACAAGTAAAAGGAAGTATTTGTATTTGCCACTAACAGCTTTCTTTCTTATTTTTTATTTTAGGGAAGGGTCTACAGAGTGTCTAGGGTGTCACTACTACATCAGACTTGGGGTGATCCACCTGCTTACAGACTCTTAAGAGCTGGGATTACAGGTGAACGCCACCACACCCAGTCTCAATAGTTGGCTCAGCATGCCCTGGGGGCAGGGCTGGCACAGCAGGCCCAGGGATGGAACCCCTGGCCTCTGCACCTGCTTGCAGATGCTTTAGTCCACTGAGCTATTTGGCTGGTCCTCACCAACAACTTTCTAAATGTAACTTTCAACAGGAAAAATAGTCCAAAAATAAAGTGATTGCTAGCTTATCATAAACATTTAAAAAAAAACCTATTTTTTAATTAACAAAATATATACTGTGTGCATTTATGACTGGTCAGAGTACCATAAAAATATAATATCATATTAATTAGAGGAGGTTAAATAATAAAATAAACAAGAACCAAAACATATTGAAAAAAGAAAGATCAATATATCATACATAACTTCACTGGGAATGCTATTTTAAAACTTGCAGAAACTGAGAAAAGTTTTATGAAAACAAAAATGTCAAAGGATCAATTTCAGAAACTTTTATTATAATATTTTGAGGGGAAAGGAAGAAGATATTTCAAAGATTCATTTGGGAAAATAAGAAAAAGAGATGGAGGAATTGGGGAGGGAGGAGGAAAGCATGGGATGTAAAAAGGATTAAGATGTGTTACATAGGTCCACCAACTCCCCATGATGAATGGAATCAGTATATACTGCAAACATGTGCTAATAAACATAAAAATTGAATAATTAAAATGGAAAGATAAAAAGTTGAAATCTGGGCTGGAAAGACAGCTCAGCAGCAAAAGTGCCTGCC